GATGAAATTCATGCGAATAATGGGGCACCTGGATAGAGAGGATTTCCAGGTAGTAAACTGCAAAGCTGTGAACTGAGTTTGCTTTACCAGTGCTTTGTCACTGGGGGATAACTTGTGGTGACAGCAAGGAGGGAAGTTAAACAGCAGCATCTTGGAAATGAGGGCAGGAAGATGCCCTGTGCCATTTGCAGTAGAAGAATGTGTGTTACTAGTTACAGAGGTGGGGAAACTTTTAACTCTCTTCACTTTTCTCCCCCTACTTTAATATACAACCAGTATCTACAGAGAGCAGAAATGAGACAAGTCTTTTAGAGAGCAAAGCAGTTGTTGGATCCCCTCAAAAATCAGAGGAGAAACGAGGAGAGAAGAGCAAAGCAGTTGTTGGATCCCCTCAAAAATCAGAGGAGAAACGAGGGGAGAAGAGAAAAGCATCTGAGATGGATGATGATGAAAAAAAGGTATGGACAGCTGGACATCAGCCACTTGGGGTGGGAGGAAGCTGAGGCAGTTTCAACTGTTTACTTTTGCTTTCCATCTGGAAAGTCTTTGAAATCTTCCTATAGCAGCACCCTAAATTAAAATTAAATGCAAAGGCAGAAATAGCAGCAAACAAGCTCCCTTGTAAAGGAAGCAGATGGCTGCAGCTCCTCTCCAGTCTGCAGAGCTGACCTAACTGGGTTTGGCATGCTCAGGGCCAGCATCCTGCTCCACAGAGCGCTGCGATTGCTGAGCAGCTGCTCTTCCCCACTGCTGCATATGGAAGAGCTGGGAGCTGTAAAGGGAGCACTGTCCTTTCTAGCCCATTGTGCAGCCAGTTGTAGGAGTGGATTAAGAATCACTGAGCTGTAATTTCCCTATAAGCCTGGAGTAGCAATTTTGATGTAAACAACAAGCCCCCTCCCAGGGCCATTATGTTCTCCTTTAATGAAGAGGCATCAGCTTGTAAAGACAAGGGCATTAGGATCATGTTTACTGGACCACATCAGCATCATCAGCAAGGGGAATAATGGGGTAATAACTCCCCTTAGCACTGTTCAGCTGTGACATCTGGCTTTCGGAGCACTGTATGGGTGCTGCTCTTGTGTTTGATTTAATGGCAGTCCAAAAGAGCAACTTCCAGTTATTAGGCATGGGATTAGAACGGTAACCTTGGGAGCCGTGAATGGACTCGTTCACGCCTCAGAGAATTGAGTGTAATTTCCAGCTCGACCTCATGTTTTACCAACCTGTGCTTCTCATCCTTTTTCACAATATGCAGCCACTGCTGGACATATTCACTGGAGTGAAGCTGTACCTGTCGCCCTCCGTGAAGGACTTTGACAAAATCCGGCGGTACTTCATAGCGTATGACGGGGATCTTGTGTCAGAGTTTGACACGGCCTCAGCAACGCATGTTATCGGGGACGTTGATGACAATCCTGGTGCTAAGCGTGTGTCTCCCAACTGGATCTGGGCCTGCATCCGGAAACGGAGACTGGTAGCCCCCTGCTAGCAGTGTGGGCAGCTGACCAGCTTGGCACAAGAACTCCCTTTGAGATGACAGCTGAGACCTAGGTAGGTAGAAGAGATGGCGAGAGTCCTCTGCGGAGACGTGACTAGAGATAAAATGCCCAAGTCCATCAGAGGAAAAGATCCATAGCGACCATATGGAATGAATTAAAACAACTCTGAAGAAATGTCACTGCTGAATCCATTTTTATGTCCGTAAAGTAGACCACTGCACTTAAACATGTGCTGGTTTAGTCTCCTTGGGTTTATAAAGTTTGGGTATTTTTATAGATAAAGAAATAAAACTGAAACAGTTTCTCCTTTGCTGTCAGGACTTACTTTCCAAAGGTTGTTCTCTACCTAGACAGGAAAAGAGGCCACCAAATACGTGAAGCTACTGGCTGTAGTGCCAGGATCATTTTGCTGCACAGCTACAGTTGCCATGAAGGACCTGTGTCCTCCTGGTCTGGCTTTTCATCCCTGTCCTTCACCATTCAGCACAAGTCTGTATCCAGTAGCAGTTTAGAGCTCTGCTGTAGGTTTCATACTAAAACCAGGACACCAAATAAGCTTCCATTACAGCAACTGCTGTAGCACTATCCAACCATCCTCTTGAAGTGCATTGCTCTACAATATGTTGCCTGTGTTCTTGTATTCATGCTTCAACAAGTAAAAGCTGAGAAAGGAACTCTACCACTCTGGATCTCAGAGGATCGTTGAGAGACCTCCTTATCTGAAGCTGTTAAACTACTGCAAGTACTTGAATATTAATGAAATAAGTGAGATAAAATGATCTGTTATTTCTAAAACCTAAGTATTTTGTATATGATGATGTACAGTTGCTGAATAACTCGGCATGAGTAGGCCAAGTGCATGTGTACACTACGAAAGGAAACATGAGTAGAGCAGTTTAGTGGTTCCCTGATCCTCAAGGGGACAGAGCACTCTCTCCCCTTTAAGACTGTGCTGCTAAAACCTGTGTGTTCAGTTAACTTATTTCTTCCACCCTCTGCTGCTGTTGAAGCAGCTGCTCTCCCAAGCCTCATCTGGTTGAAGTTCAGAAGTAGCTGTAGGATCTCTGCTTTCTCCTGGCCTGTTGGCAACAGTCAGAAAACGAGGTTAACTAAATCACATTTCAGCTTTATTATAAAATTATAAACCAAACTTCCGTACCAAAACTAGTCAGTTTAACCACTGTAGTACCAAGAGGATTTAATAGAGAATAACATGCCCTTTCAAGTAGAATATTAACTTTTAAAATACTTAAACTATGTACAGTGTACACGAAGCACATAAATATTTCCATTTACTATATTAGTTCAGATCATTATATTCCTTTGGATCATTAATCGGTTTCTTCCAGATTTTTGTTTTCCTTTTAAAAACAATTGTATCCATAACAGGGAAACGCTGTAGTAAGGGGGAGAGAAGTCACATTTCAGAGTCATGGTGGGTACATCTCACTTCTCAAAGTTCAGCCGTTGATCTGCAACTGGAGTTTATTTGCTGTAGCAAATAAGCCTAGAAGTACATCTGTCCACAGGGGAATAACCTTTAGCCCTGAGTTCACTGAAAAATACGACATGAGTTTTCACAGTGAATTTACTAAGTGAGGCTGTTCAGCACCTTGCACGTGTATTCCTGTACCTCTTAAGAAGTTCCCTGTGAACCTCTTGAAGAGTAAACACAGTTACTGCTTACCTTTTTTTTTTACATTGAACTGCACAGCACCCTTCTCATACTGGGAGCTGTTAAACTGTAAGCCAAAGATTAGAGCACAACCTCAGTAAGGAAAGAGGTAAAACTCAGGCTTTTTAGTTCAATAAACCTCAGCAGCTGTCGCAGGTTTGTGGGGTTCAGCAACCACCTCAGTAGTGCAGAGGTTCTGCTACCGCCTGACATCTTTACTGTGAGTGCTTCATTGATTCAGAGAGCTGCTGCTCCACACCGGTTGAGAAGCGAGTTGCAGCCCATGAAATATTCCACATTACCAATTAGATTAGTTTGCTGTTAACATCTTACCCCTTATTGCAGCTGCTTCGCTGATCATCTCTGTCCCTGCACTTCCCCTGCTCCACAAGTTGCAAGTTGGTTTTTTTTACACTGAACACAAAACAAGCACTGTTTGAACATGAAGTGATCACAACCCCCATACAGGGGAAAGCCAGACAGGAAAAACCCTGCAGCAGGTTCTCAACTTCAAATTGCTCACAATGAGTATGCAGTCCCACAGTGGCTGAAAACTTAAGGCATCCGGATTGTGAAACTTTGCTGTTAGCAGCCAAGGGACTGCACACTTGTAGGCCACAGAGGGAATAGTTTGCCAGTTTTCTCTAGCAAGGCTTCCAAACGAGCACGCTGGTCAGGAGGACAGGGCCTGGAACTGTCACACATTGACCACATCATCTCCTCTCCACCCTCACAAGCAGAAAAGGTACAAAATAAGTTGCTTTTGAGAAGAAGTCTGGATGTACAGGACTGTAAAGCTGAGCAAAGGGGGGGTAAGGGGAAGCTGATGAGTAAAGCAGCACCTGCAGTGATGATCGCTCATCTTAGTGATTCGAGAGAGACAGTTTGCTTTCACGTCTGCCCTCTGGAAAGAAAAAGTCACCTGTACATAAATATGATTGTGTCCTGATGCAATCCTTACCACTCCTCAGCTGTGTGCTTTCCACACTAAGCCCTCTAAAAGACTCAAGCCTTAGATTCGCAGCTCCTTAACCAAGTGAAGTCAGGGTTGCTGGCACTCGCTGTTCAGGAAGCCTGGGAAGTCAAAGGAATCAACAGCAGTCACATCAGAAACCTCCCTCGCACTGACACGTAAACACAACACCACCACCACACAAGGCAAGGCTGTATGATTCACAGGGCCTCGCTCCCCTCATGTTTTTTTTAATAATAAAGTCCATCTTCAAATAAAATGATTCATTTTTCCACAATTGCACTAGGCTAGAACTCTGCTCGTTCTGAATATGGAAATCGGAGGCAGTCTGCCTGTCCTGCAAGCATAAGAATTTAACAGTACATTTAAGAAGAAAAGAAAAAAAACCCCAAAATTAACAAGCACAGTAAAATTTTAAACCTTTGAAAAGAAAGTTGTTGCTGGGTGTATAACCTAAGCAGCAAAATAAATGTCACTTTTTGACACCCCGGGCCACTTCTGTTTGTTATTCAAGGGAAAAATGCAAAGCCTCTGAACGTGGTGGAAAGCCAAGCATCCATCTGTCCCCAGCACCAGTGGATCAAGTGGGTTGCTGACGATTCCTGTGTCTGCTGCTGGCAACGAGCTCCGAGGAGCCCAGGCACTGTGGTGTAAAGCACTGTCGTGGGAAGAGCACAGCCAGGCACGGCTTGAGTAAAAACGATTTTCCCCCAGCTTCATCCTTCCCTCGCTTCCAGCTTCCAGTGGGGTCCATGCGCTGATCTCTGACCTAACTACTTGTAGCAAACTTTGACCATTTCTCTAACGGCAGACGAGGCTTTAAGGCATCCCCAGTCTTCCTTCCGCACGTTTAAGACTTGAAGACGTGGACAGCCCTTATCACGTACTGCCTGCATATGGGACATTCACTCATCCGCTTGCCGCACTTGGTGCAAGTGACCATGTGGCCGCACTCCAGCAGGACGCAGTCAATGGCAGCATCCATGCAGATTTTGCAGAGGTTGTCCTCGGTGCCAGGGAGCCCGGCCCCACCTGAGTGAACAAGAGACCACGGTTGGTGCAAGACAAAGAAAGGGCGGTTGGTTTTGTGCCATCTGAGTCTATCAAAGGGCTTCCTAACGGACTCCTGCATGCTGAAGGTCTGAAAAAAATGCCCCTTCCATCTACACTGATGGGGATGTATCTGCTCCATCAACATAAAAGTTTTAGCTTTTACACAGTGTCTTCACAGAATCACAGAACGGCTCGGTTGGAAAAGCCCTCTGAGATCATCACGTCCAACCGCTCCTGTCTACCCCCTAAACCATATCCCTAAGTACCTCGTCTACCCGCTCTTTAAACACATCCAGGGATGGTGACTCCACCACCTCCCTGGGCAGCCTGTGCCAGCTTCTGACGACCCTCTCAGGAAACAGCTTCCTCCTTATCTCTAACCTGAACCTCCCTTGGCACAGCTTGGTGCCGTTTCCCCTTGTTCTATCCCCATCACCTGGGAGAAGAGCCCAGCACCCACCTCTCCACAAGCTCCCTTGAGGCAGTTGTAGGTGGTGCTGAGGTCTCCCCTCAGCCTTCTCTTCTCCAGGCTAAACAAGCCCAGTTCCCTCAGCCGCTCCTCATCAGGCTTGTTCTCCAGAGCCCTCCCCATCCCTCTGGCTCTTCTAGACCCCTGTGATGTGTCTTCTGTGTCATGAAAACAGAAATACCACTGCACTGGGATTCTTAGCAATGAGGCGAATGAAGCAACATGGATCTCTTCTCCCAAGTAACACGTAATAGGATGAGAAGAAACTGCCTCAAGTTGTGCTAGGGAGGTTTAATTTGGATATTAGGAACAATTTCTTCACCAGAAGGGTTGTCAAGCAGTGGAAGAGGCTGCCCAGGGGAGTGGTGGAGTCACCACCCCCAGAGATGTTTAAAAGACAAGGAGATGTAGCACTCGGGGACACGGTTTAGTGATGGAGTTGGCAATGTTAGGTTTATGGTTGGATTCGATTTTGAGGGCCTTTTTCAACCTAAATGATTGTATGGTTAAGAATATCACTTACCAGCTTGATCGTCAGTGTCAGAAACTGCAACACAAGAAGAGAGAGTTACTTGGTGAGAATAAGAGAAGCTAGAAAATACATTTACTCAAGCAGTACTACTAAGCAGGAGCTGAAATCCTTGAAGGGTGGTTACTAAACCAAAACTGCTTTTTGCTGACCCCCGTGTTCAAGCTGAATCTGATCCGGATGGGTTCAACTGGCAAGAAACTCTCTCTTCTACTGAGCTTCCACAGCAGCCAACGCTTCGCAAAGACAATCAACGATCTGAAGCCATTTCTCAATTTTCAGGCAGCCTGTTGAGCAGTGGGAGCTGCTGTCACCGAGCACAGGCCTGCTCCGAATTGCCCACCTGCTATTTGGGGGCATTTTCCTGCCAGCTTTGGCAGCTACCAGGAGTCCACAGCTGAGAGCTCGCCCCAGCGCCTGCAGGCTGCTCTGCAGGTGACGTGGTGACCAGCGCCATCTGCCACAGCGACACCGAGTCCCAAGGTGAAGGACGCACGGGTTCTCATTTGCTGTTACTACGGAGAAGTCTCCAGAGCTACCATAAAGCTCTCCCCTTAAACAAGTGGTTGTGACTGGAGTTTAGCCCCTTTCACTCTAATGTGCACAACGCGCCCTCCTGTCTCCACGTTTGCACAAAACAGAAACGCACAATAACTTCCATTTCCTTCTGCCGCTGCCCATAAGAACGGAAAACCTGGAAAGCAGGCACACGTTTGCTCACTTTCTTACCTAGGTGTTGAAGGTCTTTCTCTTTATAGAGACGAGTCACCCTCTCTAGCAGCTCCCACTTTTCGCAGCAGCCTTTGTAGTTGACAAAGTTGCGAGCAAGGATTTCCTTCAGCTGTCGCACAGAGAGCGCGTTGATGTCCCCAATGCTGGTCAGATCGGAAAGAGAAGCCTTCCTCCCCTGCACCAGGTTATCTTCCGAGTCCGTCGACTGAAAGGTAACAGACAAGGAGTCATTCTTGCCCTGGCACTACAATTTAAATCAACTTTCAACGTGTGCACCAGCAGGAGTTCATGTTTGGATGTGAATTCCTCCATGTACCAGAAACACAAGAAATAACTGATTTCTATTATTACAGTGTCCAAGTGACACCAGTGCTTTCTGTATGTGGAGGATGAGATAAGGCCAAGGAATGGGGCTGACTGGGCCTGCTGGTGCTCAGTCTGAGTTACTGTTTAGCCACCCATCTCCCTGCAGCAATGATTCTGTGGTAGCAAACGCAGCCTAGAAAGCCTGGTATTTTGTGTCACCTAATTCCAGGACACACAAACCTGCGTCTCCTCCTCTGCCGGTGCTTCTGCTGCATTCTCAACTCCTGTTGTTCCCACTTGGCCTGGAGGCACGTAACCATTTGCCTGGAAGAGGAAATAAAGCTTTCACCAACAGCACATCTCTGTGTGTCCAAAGGTGTGTTCAGCATTAACTGCAAACCCTGCCCACTGCAAGAACAAACTGCGGCGAGAGGTAAAAGCGAGGGACGCTTGCAAGAGGTATTTCCTGTGCAGCACTTACAAAAACAAACCTGAAACAAGTAAAACTTCTTGAAACTGAAGTGCAGCACCTGACCCGTTAAAGCCCTGCTTTATTTAATCCCTTATAGAGAACTGGAACAGTAAGATCCCACATGGTGTTCTTGTGAGGCTGGGTCAGGAGGAGACCACGTTCATCCAGATACACACACGCTGCAGTGTGACACGGTGTGGTGGCACAGCAGCTCGGTGCAGACTCCTCTAGCACAGCTCAGGGCCTACAGATCACGCTCAAAGTAACCGTCCAGAAACACCCCCTCAGGTGGGCTCTGGACCGGACAAACCCAAGGTATTAAGTGAAGGACAGGAGCAGCAAAGCTGGCGAATGAGAGGGGGCAGTCGCTTTGAGCGCTCACTAAAAGGAGAGGATCTGCAGTGTAATTCCAGCCGACTCGCGGCTGTTTTCCCCTCTGTGGTTCCCCTGCTGACAAAGGAGATGTAATGTTACCAGCCCACTCATCTCAGCGCTGACTTGTTCATATTTACAAAGTGAAAGAACAACAATAACGATGAAAGAGTCATGCGAGTAGGGACAAGAAGTTGAAGCGCATCGTAGCGCAGTAAGGGAAGACAACAGAGCTGAATTTGCTGGTAGAAATCAGAATGGCAATATCGGGAAAACCAGAGCATGAAAAGGCCTTTTAATGATTTGTAAAGAAACGTCGTCCCTGGGAAGCTCTTCTTTTGTGCTAGACGTATCTGCTGAGGAAGCAGAGGGTACATAGACTTTCACAGCTTTGTTTGGTCCACAGGGAGCTAAATACACCAATATTAACTTCGTAATGGGCCTAGGAGCAGATGTCAAACACTGAGCAAACTTCCCACAGCAGACAGCAGAAAGACAAACAAAGCAAAGTCAATAAAAATAATGAAGCTTAAACGCCCCGGCCGCATTTGTCAGAAGTGCGGGGTTCATCATTAACAACAGGCTCGGGTTTTGTTTTCTATCGATCCGAGGGCAGAAGACACCCAAAGCCTCACCCACCCTGTGATCATCCTTACTGGCAGTTTCAGCTCCAAAATTCCTTTAAGCTGTACTTGCTGCCTCGCACACAGATCAAAGAACAACAATAACCCTACACACAACTGTCAGAAAGGTGTCAGCATCCACACGGGACAGAGCTGTGCCCCCACGCAGCCATCGGGTCCCAGAGGACCTCGTGGCAATGGCAAGCATGGACCAGAGCAAACACATCTCCAGACAGCGATGATGTTCTCAGAGCAAATGTTCAGTGTATTCAGCGCTGCCCACCAGATTAAACCCCACTGGTGCAAAAAGGGAACAGCACAGCAGAGCTGGTGACAGGAAGTCGCTGTTTTATGCAGCCAGGCAGCATAAAGCAAATCATCTTTCCTAGTTATCCCATAAGAAAGTGTGAGGTCCTCACTTCAGTGTTAACAACAAACCAGAGAAGAGCACGTATAAAATGCAACTGAAGTGTTTTGTCATCTGCTCTAAACAGAAGCCCTCGTTGCTTTTTAAGCAGGCATCTTTAACATAAAACCTCTTTGGCACATTATCTACTTGGAAAACATAATCCAACACCTTAGCAGCTAATACAAGACCAGAGGTGGATGAGTTTGCAGAAGATGCTTTGGGCTGGAGACGGTACCTGTGGATGTTCCTGAGCGAGCGAACTCGAGGCGGGATCTGCAGACACGGGAGATGCTTCGTGTGAGGTAGAAGATGCTGTGCTGGTTGGTGGGAAGATCACAAAGTCTTGCTGTCCAGAGGCACTGGTATTAAATGGATTTGTTCTTATCTGATCTTCCTGGGTAATCACAGGCTGCTGGCCAAGGATCAGGAATACCAGGTCCTCCTTTTCGCGGCACAGCTCTGTGGATATTTCACGGAGCGCCAAATAGTCTCGCAGATCCTTCACCTTCATCTTGATCAGCTCCGCCCGCTGGAAAGCCGTGGCTCGGAAGCGCTGGCACAGGTGGCAGAGGAGGGGACCTCCCGCGGGCTGGTTGGAGCAGGCCGTGCAGAAGTTCTTCTTGCAGTCCAGGCAGATGTGCTGAGAAAGAGAAGGGAACGGAATCAAAGCGATCCCCCACGGCCTGCGACCGCGGGCAGCACCACCCTCCCATCTGGAAGCCAAAGTCACAGCCGCTGATAAAGCTTTACTAAAAACAGCTCATGAAAGAGCACCAAGGGTGTCACTCGTGTTCCTAGATGAGGAAAAGGACCGACTCTGTGAGCAGATCACTGGGTTCCTCTCAGTTCTCAGAAGAGCACCATTTATCTCCGTTTCCCCTGAACTAAACGCCGGGTTCTTAAACAATCCCCTCAAGTGACAGCAGCTTTCTGCACCTTACTCAGACCTGTTCAGCCGGTTGAAGCCACAGGAGATACCTATGAGGCAGCAGACTCCCAAGTAAACCACAGCTACCTCTGCACTGCTTCACAAAACAACTCAATACTGCTCTGTGCATTGAGAAAGCTCTAGCACCAGAGGGAACTTCTTAAAAACATCTATTTCATAAATTTAATACTTCTTACGAGCAACTGCCCCCTCGCCCTCCTTTTTTCCCCCTCCAATTTGTTACAATCAGTAAATGAATCCTTTTCTCACCGTAAAAGGAAAAGGAAACAGCAAGGCTTGCAGCGTCTGACAGACACCAAAGAATTCACCGTGTATTTATGCAGCAAAAATAGGCAGCTTATTGTGAAGACAGGATGCACACTGAGTGCCAGGCAGGTGCTAGACAAAGCGTTGGGAATCTGGGAAATATCAGGTGTCTCAAAACTTTACAGATTCAACTCTGCTGGTTCATCTGTATGTTTCACACTGCTCTGGTCTCATCTCTCAGGGCTGGATGTTCAGAAGCCCCAAGCACTCACAGTCTCCAGGTTGGCTTCTGCAGAAACTCGGCTGCTCAACGCTTTGGAAAGTCAAATTCTGCACTTCCCAATAGGAGCAGCAGCAGAACAGCCGCGTTATGTGCCTTTTAAACAGTCCTGAGGGGAGAAAGAGCTGGTTTCAGTGCTGGGTAAAAACGCTAATTCATGGAGAGGACAAGAATCCCTATGAAACCCTGACCCCTCAGAGCTATGCAAACCAAAATACACACGCAGGGTTGGAAAACCAACAAATACAAACTCGGCGAATTAAAAACTGTTTCTTTAATTGCTTCTGGTGATTAAAGACCATTTTTAACTCCACAGTTCAAAGAAAGCAGATGTTTCTCACGTGTTAAAAGGTGTAAATGCGCTACTTGCTTACACACCAGCTCCCTCCGACCCCCTCTGCAGCCTGGCAGCCCCCTTGCCCCACACACAATTCTCTGCACAGTTCTAACCCACAGACTTCTCCTCTAGACCCTGCAACAGACGCACGATGACAGCAAGTGGAAAGAATCCCCATTTCCTGCCTAGGCATTTGAAGACATGAAAATTTCTACCACGCAGAGCAACTCTGGTCAGGCCGACTGAAACCTCATCTCAAAATTGCCCTTGGGGAGCCTGCCAAGTAAAAGTGGCTGCCACCAATCACAGGGCAAGACAGGAAGGGCAATCTCCACATACCATCCAGTCTGGAGAAGTTTTCCTTCACTTGGTCATGACAAAAAAACCTTAGTATGAACTGACTTCTTTTCACCCTATAATTGCAGGAGCAATCCAATTTCTCAGGAAATTTTCAGGGCAGAGACAGGAATCACTGGTTGTGCGTGGCAGAACAACGGAAAATAACCCCATTTACAACACTTTCCCTCTCTCGATCAGCCATCTCTGGCCAGGGGAGCAACCAGCAGAGCCGAGAGGGGGAAAGAAATCAAAGAAATCAAAGAAAAAACACCCACAAAACCCAAGCGACTCTGCCTTGCTGCGGCAGGGGAAGCCTGCCCCGTGCCCTGCAGCCTGCCAGGCTGGCTCCATCACTGCACGGCCAAGGAAAAACCCCTCGTCGAGCACTCACACGCTCAGATGGTGCACAAGCGAGCACACTACAAGGGCTGCATTATCCAGCATGGGGTTTTGCAAGCAATTAACAGTAATAACACGAACCCGCCCTAGTTATTGAATGGTACATTCGAGAAGTCAAAATAAAACCTGGCTTATCAGTTCACCGCTGGGATTCATCTTCAGAGGAAAAAAAATCCCCGGCCTGTATCTGAGCATCGAGTGTTTGAACAGGCACAGAAGCTGTTTGCTGCATCTCGGTATTCAGCAGCTTTTACAGCTCAAACATATTCGCTGAACTCTGAGTGAAAGGGCAAGGAGTGGAGCATCTCCCTTCTGAGGAGCGGCTGAGGGAGCTGGGGCTCTTTAGTTTGCAGAAGAGGAGACTGAGGGGAGACCTCATTCATGTTTATAAATATTTAAAGGGTGAGTGTCACGAGGATGGAGCCAGGCTCTTCTCGGTGACAAACAATGATAGGACAAGGGGTAACGGACACAAACTGGAACACAGGAGGTTCCACTGAAATTGGAGAAGAAACTTCTTCTCAGTGAGGGTGCCAGAGCCCTGGCCCAGGCTGCCCAGAGAGGTTGTGGAGTCTCCTTCTCTGCAGACATTCAAAACCCGCCTGGACGCCTTCCTGTGTAACCTCATCTGGGTGTTCCTGCTCCGGCAGGGGGATTGGACTGGATGAGCTTTGGAGGTCCCTTCCAATCCCTAACGCTCTGTGATTCTGTGACTGAAGACACAGAACGACTGGTTTCAAATGCTGCTGTAAATTAAAGCCTGTTACTAAAAGGTCAGAGCACTGCTGAGCGATGCTTAGCACAAGCACAGGATGGTCAAACAGCACAGAAACGCTTTGAATCACAAGGGGAAGCTGTTGGCTGCTGGCTGCATCAGCCAGGCTCCCAGATACCAGGACAGGGCTTTGACACACTTGGCTCTTCTCTGCACGCCGGATAAACTGCAGAGACGCCAACATCCAAGCTTTCGCTGTGGCTACTGCTGTTTGCATTTCGTGTATGGTTTTTTTTAATCTTGCCAGGAGCTTTTTCTGTAAGCGTGCAAAGAAAAGCATCTTCCTGAAAATGTCAGCCAACTTAAGGCACTGAAATCAGAAAAAGGGGGAGGAACAGCAATCTGACACAGCCACCACGAGCGCCTGCCGCTGCTTGTGTCAGCAGAGAGACAGGAGTGCTCACTTCCCATTCAAAAGATTTTCCTGCAATCCATTTGCTACAGAAAACCAAGATGAAAATAAAGTCACCAAGGGAAGGAAAACACCAAAACTCTCAAGAGATTTTTTGCTACCATGATCAAGTTTTACCTCCTTTCAAGATGCTCCAGCAGTTACTTAAAAGCATCTTGTAAGTACATGCTCCGTGTAAATATCCCCTAACCTAATCCTTTTAGTAGGTGCCATGTTATAGGAAAATTACAATACAATTATGATAAAAGATCAAGAACTTCAGATACCATCTGCTTTTTGGTTTCTTTTTGTCTTCCTTTGCTGGTTTGGAGTTTTTTTAAAGCAATCTAAGTTATCCTTAATGGTCACCAACGTGGAAGGAATTTGTTTTTAACCACTGCATCGGTACAAACATTAACTGGACACCAGAGTTCAAAGGTGCTGCCTCTCCAGGGACAACTCTTACTGCCACAAAGTGAAATTCCATGCGCTTCCCAGACCATATCAACAGAATTAAAGCATTAACAAGGCTTACAAACACGTCAGTGATTTATCAGTGACATATTCAGCTCTCCCCTGGAGACCAAGGACTCACAGATGACCTAGCAGAGCTTCCTGCAGCTCTCCACGCTGTGCCACCCTGTAGCCAGCTCAGGTCAGTCCCAGAGACCGCTGCTCAGGAGCGGTGGTGGCACAAGGAAGGTGGAGGGGAGGTCCACAATTCAGCACACAAACCTCATTTTCCTCGATAGCCTGTGCTGACAGGAGCAGCAGAGGCACAAGCACACGCCGTGCTCTGCTGCCCCAGTTGCAGTCCAGCAGAAAACCAGGGAAGCAGAGCTGTACGTTAACGAAGCACAAACCGGCTTGTGAGCACTCCCCTATTTCTCTTCCTCTGCTTGAAGTCCTTAAAGATCATTTACAGTAACTGCCACGCAAGAGGGTCAGTAATATCTCACACAACTCCCATAAGCATCACCCTATCTCCGACAAAGGAGACCACAATTAAGAGGGCGTACACAGCTACTGGACATCCCACTTGAGGTCAAACTGCCATTTCTGCCTGGTCTCAGCCCAGTATTTCACAGGACAAGTCTGTCTGAAAAGGCAGGGGGAAAAAGAAGTGGTAAAATCTTGTTGTTTTTGTTTCCTTGTCCAGATATGCTAGGCCAACTGGAAAACCGTATGACGGCATCACCATCAGTCAAATAAATCTATTTCCAATACGCTCAACAGCACAAAGTACTGCACTTACATCAGGTCAATAAAAGAATCTCTCACCTTTTCAAAATTTCTAAGCTCTGATACTGCTCTTGTGTCTCCAGACAGCAAAAGCAAGGAGCTACAAGGGCAGCTGTGTGGATCTCCTGGTCCTTGTACAGCACACATAGCCCAGGAGCTGATGTTGTGCCCATGGCAGCCTGGGGAGCGACTGGGGGCAGAAATGTCTTCGATGGCTTTAGCAGATCCTCTCCACTGTGCTCACCACAGCTTTGCCCAGCCCCATCAGTCAGGGCGTCTTCACATATGTGGAGCAGTACTGGTGACTCTTACACAAGAGGCTGCCTCAAGGACAGCTTATATTAGAACATCTATTTTAGAAGATACCAGGAAAGAAGGGACCACGGCTCTAGCAGTAAAACATTCTTCAAGCAGCATTATAGGAACCACCACGCTCAACTCACGTCCCAGGCAGGATTTGCAGTCTCATTAAAAATCTTGTGGCAACAATTATTTTAGCATCTATACGCTCACAAATGAAGTTTACAAACAAGATAAAATGGATTTGGTCTGTCTTTGTTTGGTTTTTTTGGCACCAAGCTCCAGCAATTCAACACCCTCAGTAAACTTACATGGCTTTGTAGTTTGAGCAACAATGGTCTGGAAAAGAGATCAATCTTCCTTTACTGGAAGCACAAAGAGATCGCTAAACCTCTTGCCACAACCTTTTCTTTTTTCTTAAAGGACGTTAGCGTTTTCAAATAACAAATTTAAAAACTCCTGTTCAAGTTAATGCTGCCTTAAATGATTACAAGCACTTTGGCTTTCTTCTTCCAGCTCCTGGCAAAGCCAAGTTGTACTGAAGGTTCACTACCACATTTGCAGTAACTACGGCTGCTAATAGCAAAAGAATGAGTAAGGACAGAGAAGGAGAGGCAAGCTGTCTCCTCCCATATGGTACGTCCTCAAACGTGCACCCGTTTCTCTTCAAAGTGGCTTTTTGTAATTACATGGAAGTCTGACGGCTTAGTGCAGTCAAACTGAACACTGCTCACACCAGCGGTGCCAGGGCAGACGTTTGTGACCCACCTTCCTGGAGGAGCCGTCGAAGGGCACCCTGCAGGCCTTGCAGCTCTGCTCGGACGCGGTGGGGGACGGGTAGGAGCTGTAGCCGGGGTTGGAGTAGGCCTGGGCTCTGGCTCCCTGCTGCGGCGGTGGCTGCATCTCCTCGGGTGAGCCATCCAGACAGAACCAGTTACAACAGCTTGCCCACATAGTAACTGAAATGGGGAGAGACACAGGTTAGAAATGACACGGGAAACATCTCTCAGCTAAAGAGAGAACGACGCAGGTCCAGGGAGGTGATCATCCCCCTGTACTCGGCACTGCTGAGGCCGCACCTCGAGTGCTGTGTTCAGTTCTGGGCCCCTCACTAGAAGAAGGATGTTGAGATTCTGGAGCGTGTTCAGAGAAGAGCCACAAGGATGGGGAGGGCTCTGGAGAACAAGCCTGATGAGGAGCGGCTGAGGGAACTGGGCTTGTTCAGCCTGGAGAAGAGAAGGCTGAGGGGAGACCTCATCACCACCTACAACTGCCTCAAGGGAGCTTGGAGAGAGGTGGGGGCTGGGCTCTTCTCCCAGGTGATGGGGGATAGAACAAGGGGAAACGGCACCAAGCTGTGCCAAGGGAGGTTCAGGTTAGAGATAAGGGAGAAGTTCTTTACTGAGAGGGTCGTCAGAAGCTGGAACAGGCTGCCCAGGGAGGTGGTGGAGTCACCATCCCTGGATGTGTTTAAAGAGCGGGTAGACGAGGTACTTAGGGATATGGTTTAGGGGGTAGACAGGAGCGGTTGGACGTGATGATCTCAGAGGGCTTTTCCAACCGAGCCATTCTGTGATTCTGTGACCTGTAAAATAAGTCCTCACATTTCCCACCAGCAATTTATTCTTGACAGTGTGTCTCTAAGTTTTGATCCCCCCTCTAACTTACAAGCACGTGCAAAAAACACCGTATGCCTTTGGAGACAAAGGGCAAAAACAAGTTCAGAATAGTTACTACTGCAATTTCTTAGAGTTAAGAGATTACAGCAAACCAAGATAAATTTTCCGTTCCGGTTGCCTGCACGAGGCTCTCTGATGGTGTCTGCTGTACCAGGCTGTCTCTATTCCACGTAAGCCACAATACACCGCTTTTCGTGCATCAGAAAAAGCAAACAGAAGCTCAGATTGTCTCATGCATTAGTCAAAGAAAATCAGCAGCAAGATCATAGATGGTTTCATACTCTTCAATTGTATTCTAAATCCCTCTACAGATTTACAGCTACAAATCTAAAAAGACAAAATAAAAGACAAGGACAGCGGAGCCACTGCTTTCACATACGCCAGTTCTCAACTGAATTTGCAGCATTACAAGGCTAAATCATCACACAGCAAGTAAATGTCAGCAACTGAAGAAAAATCAAATATTAGCTTCCGGTGCCGTGGGAAAACAATTGCATCTGAGACACAGAATCACTCGTTTGTTGGGGTGTTTTTGCAAGCCAAATAATGACGTGTATACATACACACACACTTACCTAAAATCCTACCAGTCCAGTGCAAAACGCAGAGTTTGGGAGTCTTCTAAGACCACCCATGCAGAAATGCTCCAGAAGCACACTGCTCTGACCTTGCTTTTGAGAGTTCACAAAGAAATCTGAATTCATCTGGGCGCTCAGTTTCTGGAGCACACACCATGTGTCACCGCTCGCTGGTAAACAGAATACAAATTGCCTCCTCTGCATTTCTGCATTCACGCTGTAGTGCCTGGACTCTGCTTCTCCTATGCCTTAAAAAACAGGAGTGTTGGACCGCTTGATTTTATAAACTTCAGGAAATAAAACATCTCTCAGCCACACAGCCCATTCATTTCTTTCACCTCAGTAAAGTCCTGCCACTGTAAAACTCCAGATTCCCAAGGGAAGGGGCTGGTGCGAGTCCTAAAGGTTATTCGGTATAATGTACTCACATACTGTTGAATTTTTTGTATTTTTTTTAAGCTGTGTTAAGTCTTTTGGGTCAATGCACTTGAACTGGGAAGCTTTGGCAGCTTGGTGCTGTTCCAGTATCTGTAGCTTTAGCGGCATCTTTAATCCTCCCAAAATCCAGCTGCATTTGGCTTACCAAAGTCAGCGCTGTCGCTGCAGTGGCCGCAGCCTTTCAGAGCCCACAATGCAGAGCTTAACGACGAACCCTGCCCCGCGGGCTCAGCGATTTTCACGTTTAAGTCAAACTCTACAGATTCACGACAAGATAATTCTTGGTGTCACTCACGTCCACAATGCTGTGGTGTGAACTGCGCTTCGATTGGCAACCAGACCTTAATAATTCATGGAGAGAAGCAGTCCATGAACAGAAATCATGTATTATTTCTATTTTATTTTTTTTTATATA